ATATATGACTTCATAGCTTTGAAAAATTATCCTTTAAAAGTCATGACTTTGTTTTGCTGTTTATCTGATATGTTACATTTTGTTCTCTTGGTGGGATCATCATCAGCTGATGAAAAGACCAAACACATTTGGGTCAGTGTTGCAATCTGTATGCATGTCCTGTATCTTGTTTCCAGAAAGTTCCAAATTTTCATTTTCTCAATTAATCATTGCCTTTTGCATAATTTTGGCATGTCAATGATTACTATGCAACATACAGATTTCTAATATGGACAAACGGCTCCTTTAGTTGTACAAAAAAAGGAAGCAGAAATTCAAATACTCATATGACTGACAAAAAGCAGAAGTTCTTAGGAAGGAGAGAACATAAGAATTATCAGTTTACTTGCAGTATTTCTTACGAAGCAAGCATTTCAATTCTCTGACTAGAGATTGTTTTGTTATACTCTGTATGTTGCTCAAAGCCCTAATTTTTTTTTAATCCATAACACCAGCCCTACATTTAGGAGGGCTCTCTCACAAGAAGTGTAGCATGCAGATTTGGACTTCCAAATATACTTCGGGCTTTGACATTTCAATACGACAAAAGTCCACCCTTGTCAAAGGATATCCTCTTATTATCAGAAAGAAAATGCAAGCCTCAGAATATCATGACTTAGTACAATAGCACAATGCTACTTAAACCCCAAAATCTAAATCATTTAATTTGTGCTATGTTTATTTTCACTACACTTAATAAAACATTAACCCCATGGTAACCAGAGAGGGACAAAACATATTTAATTCTATCACGCAGTTTTTGTAATTATACCTACCTTTTATGCTCCCCCAAAAGCTTAAGACATAATTTTGATACATTTTAATTACTAGACATATGAACAAGGTGTACTGGGGTCATAAGTTCAAAATACACCCTAATATTTTTATACTTACCAGAATCCTAGCAATCCAAAAGAAAATCATATTCAACTACATTTACTTACTTATTTATATCTATTTATTGTGGGAAGGCACGCATTCGAGTATCCATAGCTATTTTACTCTAAAAGGAAACTGGGGATAGGTAGCAAAGCCTACAAATGTAGCAGTGTGTTCCCCCTCCCCCCCCAAATTAATCAAGTTATTGCCTCGCCTCCATCTAAAGTACTACAAATAAAAATAGCTGCTGCAACAGAAATGTTTATTTTGCTAGCTTGTCTCTAGGCCAAATGCAGATTTACACTAGAGAATCATCCTTTTTCCTCCCAAACACAACTCCAATAGGCTACAGGCACAGAGCAGGGCATGAAGGATAAGCAGCCGGCACTGCAGATGATGAGCTGCTACACCAAACAACCCATGGAGCTGGCTTCATTCTGACAATGGAGGTGGGGAAGAAGCCTAACGGCTCCTGCTGCTGCTCCTCCTGGAGTTGCTCATTAAGAGTTAGTCATAATCAGGACTGATTCTGAAGATTCACATGAACCTTCCATTACCACTGTTTTCATAAGCCAGCAACGCAAACAGAAATGTCTTTGGACCTTATTTCAAAGTAAGCTGTCACAAAAAGCATCTTGCGAGGCAGGAAATCTATAGTCCAAAGCTGGCTGTAGATACAGCAGAATCTTAAACATTTCTAAGGGCAAAACAGAGACCCAGGTATTGCACTGGTACATCAGACCTGCTGGATTTTCAGGAACCGAAACAGTGAAGGGAAAAAGCACACTCAGCAAACACTTCATAAGCATTTCCCCACATCAGTATTTGGAGATGGGGTGATCCTTGTAACCTTTGTTCCTTTCCCTGAAAACACGAAAAACTACACGGGAGGGCTCTTCTGAAGAGTATGGTTTGGTACAAGGAACACACTGCTGGCAAGAGAGAGTTGTCTTGCATGCATCACAAGACATCATATGGCGCTTTATCGATGCCTTTACTGTATTATTAATGCTGTTTTCATCTCTTTTTCAACAGAGCATAAAATCAGGTTTTTGAATGTAAAAAGAAGAGAAACTAGTGTATAATGCCCTAAGGCACACTCGAAAGCCCAACTGCAAATCAACTGAGCTTAATACACAATATAACAGGGAAAAAAAATTTGGTCAGCTTCTTGACCAGCACAGTAGCTGGTTCTTAAGGTTAAGCAAACTGCCCTGAATTTAAATAAAACTAAAAGAAAAAAAAAACCACAATACACACAAACCAGGGGCTATGTACAAAGTAGAAAAGTGAAGAGAAAAATCCCAGAGAGATTCTGGAAAAACAGTTCTTTGCAGCCTCTAGTAATTCTGTCCCCATTCAACAGGAGTTGAACTTAAGAGTAAACCACAGAAATCTATTACACTTTTTTTTTTTTAAAAGAACGTCCAAATAGCTGTAATGCATACCCACCGGTTTTTATAACCGTGAGATTTTGTGTTTGCTTCAAAAAAAAAAAAAATCTACAGAAGTATTTCATTTGAAGAGAGAGAATACATAACAGGAAGGAATAAACAAATCTGTCTTTAGCCAGACATAATTCAAACAAATGCACGCTTCCCAACAAAATCTGCCAATTTGTTTCATGAAAGTACATTCAATTTATGAGTAACAGCCAGATGCTAAAACCCTTTAGCAATCTTTCTTACAGTCGCTTAGACATTCTTTCATCCAGACTAAGCTGATAAACATAAAACTGCAGGCAGAAGAAGGTGGAGTAAAAGTTTAACTGTCAGGTCAAGGGCCATGGACAGAGTCATTTATAATGTAAGTCATACACCAACATACTTCACTGAGATAAAAATTTAATATCCTGGAAGAACTAATATAAACCCTTTCTACCTCCCAAGAAAAAGTTTTTCATGCTATCAGATTGAAATTCCAGGTTTTGCAAAGTCTTTTATGACAAAAAGTTAGCTTGCAATTGAGAAAATAAAACAGGGAAGAACGGAACATCTTGTTTAAATTCTGGATGAAAGGCATTTATTTTGTGGAACTAAAATAATTGCCAGAGCAGAGAGGATGAAACTGCTCCACCCATCAGCTGGGCACCTGTCAAGCTTGACACCTAGTACAAGTTTGTAGGAGTTGGCCTAGCCTAAGCCTCGTGAATGGGCTTCTAGCTGGGTTCCCATAGCAATCGCTACACGAACCAAGTGTGATGTGTTGGTGCTACCAGATGCTTCCCCCGAACTCTGTCAACCAGAGAACAGCCACGGCCCAAGCTGCAAATGAGAAACTTGAGGCTTCAAGCACATAATGACCAGTTTCTTCCCTAAGTGAGGGCTAGACACTCCCTTTACCTGGCCTACAATTTCTCACTATCAGATCCCGAGAGGTACAGCTTCAAGAAGAGGAGACTGTCACAATGCAGAACAGTTAAAGCCTGTAAGATCCTTTCTTGGGGGTTCTTCTGCTCCAGTGTAGGACTTAGTTCTTGGTCCACTTCTGAAAGGGCTTAGAAGCTTAAAATCAGCAGGGCGCTGGCTGTAAATCACCAGGCAATGTTTCTAAGCCAGGCACCCGTACACTACTCTAACTGCCCTGCCTAGGCAGCATACCGCCCTTTACAGACAACTTATTCTATGTTGCCATTCTGCTCAAATAAACGGAAACAGGCAGCAAATACTAATCAGGTAAGACAAAGAAATTTAACCCTTAATGCTCCCTAATCCCTTGAGATGATCTTCTTTCCTGTATTTTCCTGGCATTTTATTCAGTTTCTTTAATATTTAGCTTAGTAAAAGGCAACATCCTTAATCCCTGTGCTGCCTTTTAAAACCTCTTTGTGAGCCAAAATGACTGTAGAAAAATGTGTTGCTGTTAAATTGTTCAATGACTAAATTGTTCTTTTAATAAACTACAATGAACTAAGCATTACATTCTTTTGAACAATTGCAGAACAAGGAGGAAGAGGCATACTATGGTGTAATGGATGGGAAATCAGCTCAGCTGTTAATCTGCTACCTGAACTTCAGCTACTTCCTATGATTATCTTCTACTTCTACACATCAGAAACCTTTTTCTTTATAACAGTGCAAACCTGCACAGACTTTCTGCTCTCATTTCTGCTGTCAACAAGATAGCAAGATTTCTGTCACAGCTAGAGAACAGAAATAGCTCTCTTGCTTTTAGAATCATAGCAAAAAAACAGTTATTTTATAATTGTTTTTGGTGATTATTTCCCCTTGTGGCCCCAGTTTCTGGAGGAAGAGTCCAGTACTGCAAAAGGATGCTTACGCCTAAGCATAGGTCATCATCATCTTTGTCAATGAATACAGTAAGTAGACAGCAAACTACAATGTATGAAGTAAGCCTCTTACGCAGATATGAAACTATATTCAAAAACTAGAAAGGTCTTACAAGTAATAACAGCTTCCCATTAACAGAGTAATCCTTGCTAGTAAAGAAAGCAGTCGAGTATCTTTCCAATAAAATTATCACTGCACTATCAAAAGCAGTCGCGTTGTTTATAAAGCTCTGCTGATGCTTCATCTCCTGACACCAAGCAGAGGAATTTCAAGAAATATAACTAAATGCTTGACAAAAGAAAAGTGAACTTCAAGAACTTCAAGGTTCAATGACACTCTACCACTGACTGCAAGTAATTATGTCAAACTCTTTCTTATAGTCATACTCAACTCAAAAAAACATTGAAAACCTTAGGTTATATCAATTTTTGGAGCTCTTTAAATAAAAACTCAAATAGAAGGAAAGAAGATGCAGTGGAAGCAAGATATAAAACATTTCTTATGGCTCCACAGATCTTTCACTTACTATTTCTGTAGCAAAAGGAACGTTTATACTATCATCCCTCTACCAAGTGATTACATAACTATTAAACAAATTCTGAATGTATTTCAGCTTCGTCTGTCAAGCAACTGAACAGCCAGAAACATGGAGGAGGAAGAATCAGTAAGTACAGTTTAGGAAACCCTCCTAAGAATTACAGTATACATTGCCCAAGGTTACTGACACTTCAGCTTTTCCATATGTAGTCTAATCTAGTACAAATCAGGGAGAATAAACTCTTCTTCACTAACCTGCTTGTTGATCCTGATGACTGTGAGAATGCAGGAGAGACTGATCTCTGGCCTTCCTTCAGGGAATTACATTCACTTCTTTTGCAATCAGGAATTTCTGTTTTGGGTATCTGGACTGTTCCAATAGCTAAATCTGTGTGTTGCTTTTGAATATCTTCTCCTTCCAAGAAGAAAGGCAGAAATTAACAAAAATGGCAAAGCAAAATATTAATGTTTAAATTTTTGCAGCCTGGAGATGTATTTAAATATTTTAAAACTTGATTTTTCTTAAAATCTCATTTCCTCATTCCCACCTGGCTTGCTTCCCAAGACTCTCACAATTTAAAAGGATTTGATTTATTTTCCTGCTGTCACAAAAAACAAACCCCACCACTCCACAAACCAGACACTGTCACAGAAACACTCCCTTGCTACGTTTCAAACACGGAGAGGAAGATAAATAAAGGGTAAGAATATTTATCATCATAAGATGTGACTATATTTCAAAAATTAGCAAACACTTATGTGACGGTTCCGTTCTCTGGTTCTTGATACCAACTCACTTTATCCATTGGATGAGGCAGTTCGATAGCTTGAAAGTTTTACAGATCAGGTTAAGAGGCTTGTTTTCAATAGGAGAAACACTAAGATTTATTTCCTAATGCACTGAAGAAAGATAGCGTCAATCTAGTAGATTTTAATTCTATTTATTTTAATAGGAAAAATCATTTCCAGTCAACATGCAAACACAAACTGCAAAGCCATTCTATTATTTTTATATCAAATACTTTCGCCTTTTAAGAGATGAATGGTTCTCCCAGAAGATGACCTTCTACCTTTCCACAGAGACAGCAAATATAGACTAGAAAGTATTATACGTAAAGATAAAGATACTCCTTCTCCACAAATCTCTTCAAACGTAGAGTTATTTAACTAGGAAGTTGCAACAAATTAAAACCCTGCTGAGACTCAACTCACTGATAATCCTTACTATGGCAGTTCACACAAGTGTTCTGTCCATCCTCGTGGATAAAACCACGTTCCCCTACTCAAACCACTTCAACTTGCCTGGCTCTGCCAAAACGATTTTGACAGAGATGTCAAACAGCATTGTAGCTACAGTGTGGAAGGGCTTTGTACACTTTAAATTCAGCCAGGGTTTGCCATTTGTTTTCCCCCAAAATGGGTAATTAAATATCAGGAGCATATTTCTGTCAGCTGTAAGCATATAGCGGATTATAGCGAGCCAGTTGTCCAACTAGTGTAACACATCATAGCTCTGCTGAAATTAACACTTTTAAGAGAACAAAGGCACAGTGCAATATTGCAAAAAAACAGCTGTATCAAAAATATTTATCAATTTATTACAGTGCTTCCCCCTGGTCAAAGCAAAAGTCTGTTTAAAAAATAAAAAAAAAAGTAACAGGAACATTAGAAGTTTAACGATGCAAAATGAGACCACATAATGCAGTAAGAGATAATCACCTTCCAAGCATCATCAAAAACAGAGCGAAATTTTGAGAGGGATTTAATTAAATCAACTAGTACTGCAGCAGAAGGCAATGGGAGATAAGTAAGGCTTAAAAATGCATTTTAATTCTGTATTATTCTACTTCCTATTTCTATGAGGAACAAATATAGTAGTAAGGAATGCATATAAAGCTATCTTTCTTCTCTGGAGCGATGCTTTCAAATGGCAAGTCATTAGACCGCTGTTCTTTTTCTTCCTTGCAACTTTTCTAATTTCCAGTTTAGTAAAAGACTAATTGCTGTTAATAAAGGATACAGAGGAAGCAAGCTTTAGGCATTTGTTACTCCAGCCACAGATCATCTTGGGGTTTTTTGTTTTTGTTTTTTAAATGGTTACCAAATAGACAATCAGGTGCAGCTGTTTGGCATAAAACCAGAAATTGAAATTTCAGAGATTACGGGAAGCTCACCGTATAAGAAGTGTAATGAATATTTTGCAATTCTGTCAGAAGTTGTGATCACTCATACCAAGCAAAACCAAAATCTCTTCTTGAATCAGGTGAGATGGTAAACTCTACTTAAGTCAACAAGATATTTAAATCAAGCGTATCATTCTGTAATGATGGCTTTTATTTTCCATTTGAGCAGTCTTTTGGAAAAACTATGTTGCTTCACTTCAGCTTCTCAAAGTCTGCAGTTCAACATACAAAGAGAAAGGCTACGTAGAGGAGAAACTCAATAATTCACAGTAGCCAACCTTTCCACAGAGCACAACTAGAAATTAATATTTCAAACTCTGTGATATCATTAACTAATGACCTATTGCTTCTGTTACCACTACAGAAGAGGGACATCACTGTAAATTAAGTCAAACAAGATAAACACTGTCCTTGAGATTCCTTAATTTTTACCACTCATGTGGAAAGGATTATGCATTGCACCGAGGTCTGCATGAAATGATAAGGATAAAGTTCATATTAGTATATTGGTATTTTCATTTATTTTTATTCTTGAAAACTCTGCTAGAGGGGACAGCTCAGGAAACAGCCACAGACCAAAGATTAAACAGGGATTTTTGAGAGCTGATATAAACTATACTCTCATATTTTCCCGAGGATACAGACAACAGCATATCCAATTCTGTGGATATCCAATGAAATTCTCTCTGAAATTCAGTATTCTTCATACATTATAACTCCACAAATATTAGGCTGAGGAACACCTATAGGAAACAGGTTAGTAGAACACAGGGGTTTTTATTTGATACTGGGAGATGTGAGGATAACAAACACATGCTGGATGTTGTTCCCAGCTCATAAAGCATATGTGCCTAACTGAACAACTGCAAGTTGTGCATTTTCACTTTTCACTGTGTTGAAAGATATGAACACAAAACGAACTGAATTAAGAACAGCAGTGGCACCATACTGTAGCAACATTCTACAGGAGACTGAAATGTCTTAATCTTTCAGCTTCAGAACAAATAAACACTTGTCCCACTCCACATAAATATCTTTGCAGTTCCCAGTATACTGACTCTCTAATTACATTTATGACACAGGAAAGCCGAAACTAGCAGGCAACAGTCATTATCACTTTCATTTCAAAAATGCAAATTGTCATATGCCCACTCTCAGCGACTTTGAGAGATTTGAATCAGAACATATGATCCTATTTCAATCTGCTAATTAAAATATACTCCAAAAGTGAAGTATATATATACACATTCCCAACAAAATCAAACAAATCACTTTTATCATATGTTGTGCTTACGTATCATGTTAAACCAACGCCAGTCAAACTGTTTAGGGTGGGGGATTTTTATGGATTTTTTCCTTAA